GGATCAAGATACCATTTACCTTCTAATACTATTCTGAGGAGGACAAAGTAGTGCATGCAAAATGCTAAGAAATGCGCTATGGTTACTCATCGTCATCATTATTAATGAAAGATTAAGTAAGCATCTAGGAGTCCTGTAGGTTAAGCATTTGACTGCCAACCACAAGGTTAGTGGTTCAAACTCACCAGCCATTCCTCCAAAACCCCATACAGGGTCGCTATGAGTCGGAACCTACTTAACAGCACCTAACAACAAGATTGAAGTTGCCAAGGACTCCATTCTTCTTGGATGAACTATCAACACTCATGGAAGCAGCAGTCAAGAAATCAAATGATGTATCGCATTAGGCAAATCTGCTGCACAAGACCTTTTTAAAGTGTTGAAGAGCAAAGATCTCAGTTTGAGGACCAAGGTGTGCCTGACCCAAGCCATGGTATTTTCAAGAACCTCATATGCTTGTGTCTTAAGGTCAGCGGTTCGAAACTACCAGCCGCTCCGTGGGAGAAAGATGAGGCTTTCTCCTCCCGTAAGGATTTACACCCTCAGAAACCCTGTACAGGGTCGCTATGGGTCGGAACCTACTCTACAGCACTTAACAACAACAACAACAATATATGCTTGTGAAAGCTGGACAGTGAATAAGGTAGACTGTAGAAGAATTGATACATTTGAGTTATGGTGTTGGAGAAGAATATTGGAAGTGCCGTGGGCTGCCAAAAGAACCAACAGATCTGCCTTGGTAGAAGTGCAACTAGCATGCTCCTTGGAGACCAGGATGGACAAACTTCATCTCTCATACTTTGGACATATTGTCACGAGGGACCAATCGCTGGAGAAGGATCTCATGTTTGGTAAGGTGAAAGGTCATAGAAAAAGAGGAAGACCCCCAGCAAGATGGATTGGCAAAGTGACAGCATCAATGGGCTCAAGCGTGGCAACAATTGTGAGGTTGGCCTAGGATCTGGCAGTGTTTCGTTCTGTTGTGCATAGGGTCGCTATGAGTCGGTACTGACTCTATTGTACCTAACAACAACAACAACGAGTCAGAATCAACTCTAGGGAACTTAATAACAACAGAGTGAGCATCTACTTTAGTGATGGTGGCTGTGTGCCGTGGAGTCGATTCCAACTCATAGCGACCCTGTACAGGGTTTCTGAGGCTGTAAATCTTTACGGGAGCAGAACGCCTCATCTTTCTCCCATGGAGCAGCTGGTAGTTTCGAATTGCTGGCCTTGTGGTTCATAGCCCGGTTCATAACCACTACGCTACCAGAGCTCCTTTCCTGTATGTTTGTGGTGTAGAGCATTCTGTTACCATAAAGCTAGAGTATAAGTCAACCCTACTTGGGAGTAAGATTGTTTTTTTAACCCCAAAATTTCCATTTCTATGCCTTCATCCTAATTCTGCTGCCCCTCTAACTGACTACAGGGCAGTGTTCCAACTCAAATCAAGCCACAAATCTCCCAGCGGGAGTCTAGCTTCAGTCTCCTTAACTGAAGCAGAGGACAAGTAAACATGTTTTGCAAATTTCCTCTTTAGCCACATTATAAATGCTGCTCTTGCAAATGGCAGCTAGCACCACATTAAATCAGTCTTCTTGGCCAGAAAGACTTAGACACTTTGCAAGTATACTATAATGTGGAAAAGAGCAAGATATCAAGTAGAATGTAGTTCACTAAAGGGGAAATACACTGCCAGAATTTGTTGGAAGAAAACCAAACTATCTAAATTCGGATGCAGCAACAATCGGTTATACACAAGGGCAGCCAAAGACTCAAAAGGTCTTTGTGGTGTTGCTAATACCATAAGCAGTGTTGGAGAACATCCCAAAATTAAGCCCGTTGGTATGCTACTGCTCTGCAATTGAAGGGACATTAAATCCTACTTGGAAATTTTTAATCCAACATAAACTGACTGGACACCATACTCCTCAATCTTCCTTTCTCAACCTTTTCTAATTTCCTCAGTTCCCAGCTTTTTCTAATTTCCTCAGTACCAAAGTGGATGAGTAAAGTGCCTCATACTTTACAAAGAATATGAACTCTCCAGCACAATTGTTTCTACGTTCCCATTCACCATCTGAAAAATTTTCTCCCACTCTCTATTGCTTCCATCTCTGAGACTAAAGAAAACTTGCTTCTCAGGTTGTCTTCCCAGGGGACCTAATTTCATCAGTTATTTTTATCTGCTACATCTTTATTGGAGTCCTGGTGTGGCATTGTGGTTTAGTGCACTGGGCTGCAAAGTCAGTTTGAACCTCCAGGCTGGAAGTTCAGGCTCACCAGCTGTTCCTTGAAAACCCTATACAGGGTTGCCATGGGTCGGAACCAATGCTACGGCACTTTACAACAACAACATCTTCTTTCTCTCCCTATAATCCTGTTAAATATTACTTGTCTTCTTTCTTCTCTGACCCTCTTGCTCCTACAAATAAGCTACCTTTAAACATCAACTTCTTGGCCTCCTCCCCAAGCCCCATTGGGCCTGCTCTTCTGTTTGCCACTTCTTGTAATATCTTAATACTTATTTAATGCTCAAAGTGCCTAATTTCTCTTTAATTCTATCCTGTCTTCTCTCAAAGCAACAATAACATTAATGGTGTCAAATGCCACGTATTGAACACTTACGATGTGCCAAAATGTTAACAAATATTAGTATATATCCTCACAACTGCCTAAGTGACCTATTGTATTATCTGCCCTTCATACATAAGCAAAAGGATGGCCTTGATTAAAATCACACATTTGCCCCAAAGTCTGTGCTCTTAAGCCTTTGGAGGGAGTATTAAACAGAAGTTGGGATCCTGGTGTGGCGCTGTGGGTTAATGCATCAGACTGTAAAGTCATTTGAACTGCAAGGTTGGTGGTTCAAGCTCACCAGCTGCTCCTTGGAAATCCTATACAGGGTCGCTATGGGTCGGAATCGACTCAACGGCACTTAACAACAACATTACATAGAAGTTAACAGTTGACATGTCATTTAATTTGATTTTCCGTGTTTCATAGTTCCATCTCCTGTTCTCACTGTGATTTTTCAGGCTCTTAAAACATCCTGCTTTCTGACTTATCTCCCCACCATACTATGTTCCTCCTTAAGAACAGGTCTGATCATGACATTCTACTGTACAAAGACCTGCTGTGGCCCCTCTTAGCCCATCTTCTCAAGTCCACACTCCTGTACCCAACTCAGCTTAAAGAATCTTCTCTTTGTCAGCTGCCCCTGCACTCCCACATTTCCGTTTCATTATTCTCTAGTAGCTCTGGTAGCGTAGTGGTTACGAATCTACTGTTAATCTCAAGGTCAACTGTTTGAAACTACCGAAAAAGAAAGATATGGTTTTGCTCCCGTAAAGATTCACAGCTTCGGAAGCCCTATACAGGGTTGCTATAAGTCAGAACTGATTCCACAGCACATAACCAACCAACCATTCTTTACCTAAAATACACACCTGTATATATCTAAGCTTGTTTTTTAAAGCCCAGATCAATTGTTATTTCTTCCAAGAAGGTTCTCTATATACTCCAACATCATCCACCAGCATTACTTCTTACCATCACCACCACCATCACCACAGACTAGGTATAAACCTCTTAGGTGCCAAGACCATATTTCTCTCTGTCCCTTCTTCTCTGTCACTCTGTTTCTTGATCTTTCTATTTTAGAAAGTCTATGAGTATCATCTCCCAGCTCATCCTTACGCAGAACCTAACAGAGCTCCTTCCCTCTTAAGCCTACTCGATGGATAGAGGGATGAAGCAATATGTCAGCCATGTGACACAATGGTTAAGAAACAAGTGTGAAGTTAAATTAGAAATAAGAGAACAAAATGTGTAACAGTAACACAATCCTATTTTACTCAGATGATACACTTCCCTGGAGAATCCTCAAAACTTCAAAGGAGGCAAAATACCAAAACTTCAGTTTGGAAAGTTATTATCAAAGAGATAGGTTAAGAGTGAATAGGAATCCTGAACATAAGTGGCTTTTCAGAGTAGTAGGTTATAGTAGTTTAAGGCGCAGGAGCCAGATTCAATTTAAATCCTGAATCTGTGACTTACCAGCTGTGTGCCTCCGTTTTCTCATCCATAATTAGTGATAGATTATCACCTACCTTAAAGAGCCCTAATGGCACTATAGGGTAAACACTGGACTCCTAACCACAGGTTGGTAGGTCAAAACTGTCTGCCCCTCTGCATGAGACAGATGACACTTTCTGCTCCTGTAAAGACTTACAGCCTTGGAAACCCTACACAAAGTCACTGTGAGTTGAAATCGACTTGATGACAGTAGATATTGGGTATCACCTACCTTACATGGTCATTGTCCTTGCATGTAGAGCAGTGCCTGGCACATGGTAACTGTTCAAAAATATGATATTATTATTATTATTTTCACTAACATATATTATGTTCAATCATTGTTGTGACCATGTAGTTGTCAAAAGTGAGAAAAGGAATTTTAGAGCTATATTAACTAAGGATAACCTACCACTTAGCTAAAAGAGTTGTTTTTATAAAATCCTGGACTACAGTATTACGGGCTCCTGGTGTAGTGCTGTAGGATCTGCAACACTGGACTGCAATCCACAAGGTCAGAATTTCAAACCTACCAGCTGCTCCTTGGAAACCTTCTACAGAGTTACTATGGGTCGGAATTGACTCAACAGCACTTGAAAACAACAATGGTAGTTATAATAGTATTTAAGAACACAGACAAAGCAGCCAGACTCAATTTGAATCCAGCTGTGTACTTCAATTTTCTTATCTTAGACTTTTCTAACACATTTTTTTTAGTGGTCTCCTTTACATGGATAAATTACTCAGAAATGCATCCCTAAAAAGAAATTCAAATGCTTCTATACATTTGGCCATAGAATTATTTCTATCACCAGGATTTGTCAAAGGGATGTTAACATAAAGGTAGGTATTACATTTGATTTATGGTATGTTCAATAGGCTTTTGATAAAAGTATATATAAAAAAACTTTTTTTGCCTCTAGGAATAATTCGGGTTTCACACCAGCAGACACAGTGGCTATCATTTTCTGTTCTACACATAAATCTCTCACATTGGGTAAGTGATCTGCAGAGATGAAAAACCAACATTTAGTATTTCCCTCATATAGTTACATTTTATGATTTTGAAATTCAAGGAACTCTTCAAATGAAATGGAATGGGGTATTATCTACTCTGTATACTAAAGACCAATAGAAAGGTGAGGATGGGTCTTTGTTTTGAAATACTGGTGGTCAAACCAGTTTCTGAGGGCCTAAATTAATACTGTTAGATTTAGCTTAATTTGTAGTCCTGCTTTTGATTCCTATAAAAGATTTTCAATGTAGAATATTAACAGTAACAGCCAAGTGATAGTGAGGGAAACTGCTTTTGCAAAAGAACTTAGCATAAAATTTTTCTTTGGAAAGTTGTAAAGTGACACCTGGAATTTTTTTCTGGGATCTCAGAGTGAAGTGGGAATAATGTTATTACTCTAACTTAATATTCGTATTAGTTTGAAATCTATTGTGGAATGTTAGGGTATCTCTACTTAAAAAAACAAAAGCACTAACTCAATCTGAAATAGAAAATTAAGTGACTATTTAATGGACAAAATAGATACAGGAGGAAAATTCTGTTTTCTACTTAGCTTTATCTAATTTAGTTATTCAGGATCTATGCTTTTAGTCATTAAAAGTCATTAAGTAATCAGAAATGTATTGAAACGAACATTACTCACAAACCCTTTCAAGATGATAGGCATGTTGTGGAAAACACTCACATTAAAACATATAAAAAAAACAACTAATTTTGGCATGTAACTCACTTTCTGAAGTCAATGAAGCATTATGACATTGCTTTAGATCTGCTCACATGAAAGAAAGTCAGTCTATAATATAGAAAATGAAGATATTTCATAATGGTTTTAAAATCCCAAACCATATTTGCCCATTAGAGTCTATTAATCTTAGAAAGTTTAGAAAATGACTTAGAACAAACTCTTTAAGGAACATTTGCAATCTAGGTCGTTAGCTTACTTAAATAAATTGTACAGAGAGTCTATACACTGCAGTATATTGCTTTGGTATTCTTCATAATCATAATAACAACAAAGTTGAAAGAACTTTGGAAGTCATGTTCAAATCCAGATTTTTGTAGCCTTGGACATATCCCTTCCCAAACCTTAGTTTTCTCATGTATGATCTGGGGCAGTATAATACATTTTATAAAGTTATTATTAAGATGAACAAATTAATTGATGTGGATTGAATTAGAAAGATCATATAAGAACTTGGTGTAGTGCCTGGCATATGGGCACGCTTGAAACAGTATTGTGTGTTATTATTAGCTCGATTAGTAATGATTTGTATTACTGCTGCCAGTGTTCCATTTTCCTGACCCCATCTTGTAGGTTTTCTTGTAATGAGTGATGGTTTAGTTGCTGATGTCAAGGAAATCATCTTGTACTTATTTGCCATGGTGTGTTATTGTAAAGTGGCTTCTGGTGTCTTAGGTCTCCTTGATGCGAGGCACTGTTATAAACGTAGGCAATCCCCGAGGCAGCTGCTGCCATGCCTCGGAGTCTCAAGTGCAGGAATCAAATGAGCCTGCATCCTCACATCCTCAAAGCACATTTGAAGCCATAGCTGCGCTAATGGGCTTGTAACCCAACCTCTCCCTAGTGATTTGCTCTTCTCAAGTAAACCAAAATTCTTCTATGATGTTCTTCTCTGCTAGAACTGGCTATGTTGAACAAAGACCTTGACCCAAGAAGCACACTGCAGTTTGGTGATAATCTTTTCTTTTGTGAAAGCAAAACACTATTGTTATGTGCCATGGAGTCGGTTCCGACTCATAGCCACCCTGTACAGGGTTTCCGAGGCTGTAAATCCTTATAGGAGCAGAAAGCCTCACCTTTCTTGCATGGAAGAGCTGGTAGTTTCAAATTGCTGACCTTGTGGTTTGCAGCCCGATTCAGAGCTCCTGTTGTTATTAGGTGCATCCATTTAGTACTGACTCATGGTGACCTTATGCACAACAGAACGAAACACTTCCCAGTCCTGGACCAACCTCACAATTGTTGCCACGCTTGAGCCCATTGATGCTGCCAGTTTTGCCAATCCATCTCTGTGGGAGTCTTCCTCTTTTTCGCTGACCCTCCACCTTGCCAAACATATTATCCTTCTCCAGTGACTGGTCCTGCCTGACAATATGTCCAAAGTATAGAGACAAAGTTTGGCCATTCTGGCCTCCAAGGAGCACTCTAGCTGCACTTCATCCAACACAGATCTGTTGGTTCTTTTGGCAGCCCGTGATACTTTCAATTTTCTCCTCCAACACTGTAACTCAAATGTATCAATTCTTCTACAGTCTTCCTTATTCACTGACCAGCTTTCGCATGCATATGTTATTTAAAATACAATGGCTTGGGTCAGGCACACCTTGGTCCTCAAGCTGACATCTTTGCTCTTCAACACTTTAAAAAGGTCTTGTGCGGCAGATTTGCCTAATGCAACGCATCGTCTAATTTCTTGGCTGCTGCTTCCATAAGTGTTGATGGTTGATCCAAGAAGAATGAAGTCTTTGACAAAGTCAGTCTTTTCTCTGTTAATAAGAATGTTGTTTATTGGTCCAATGGTTAGGATTTTTGTTTTCTTTACATTGAATGAAACCCATACCAAAGGCTGTGATCTTTGATCTTCATCATAAGTATTTTAAGTCCTCTTCACTTTCAGCAAGCAAGGTTGTATCATCTGCATATCACGGGTTGTTAATGAGTCTTCCTGCAATGCTGATGCCACATTTTTCTTCATATAACCCAGCTTCTTGGATTATTTGGTCAGCATACAGGTTGAATAAGTATGGTGAAAGAATACAACCCTATCGCACACCTTTCTTAATTTTAAACCATTCAGTGTTCCCATGTTGTGTTTGAACAACTGCCCCTTGGTCCATGTACAGATTCCTGATGAGCACAATTAACTGTTCAGGAATACTCATACTTTGTAATGTTGTCCATAGCTTGTCATGATCCACACAATCAAAAACCTTGGCATAGTCAATAAAGCACAGATAGACTTCTTTCTGGTATTCTCTGCGTTCAGCCAAGGTCCATCGGATGTCAGCAATGATATCTCTCATTCCACATCCTCTTCTGAATCTTGCTTGAACCTCTGGAAGTTCTCTGTCAATGTTTGCAGCCGTTTCTGTATTATCTTTAGTAAAACTTTATTCGCGTGGGGTATCAAAGAGATTGTCCAATGATTTCTGCATTCCATTGGGTCACCTCTCTTTGAAATGGGCACAAATACAGATCTCTTCCAATCAGTCAGCCAGATAGTTAGTTGTCTTCCAAATTTCTTGGCATAGATGAGTGAGTGCCTCCTGTGCCGCCTCACTTTCTTGAAATATTTTAATTTTTATTCCATCAATTCCTGGTGCCTTGTTCTTTTCCAATTCTTCCAGTGCACCTTGGACTTCCTCCTTCAGTATTATTAGCACTTGATTATATACTGCCTCTTGAAACAGTTGAACATCATCCATTTCCTTTTGGTACAGTGACTGTATTCCTTCCATCTTCTTTTGATGCTTTCTTCATCATGCAATAATTTGCCTAGAGAATTCTTCAATAAGGAAAGTGGAGGCTTGATTTTTTTTCTTCAGTTCCCTCAGCTTGAGAAATGCTGAGCATGTTCTTCCCTTTTGGTTTTCTGACTCCAGATCTTTGCACATTTTCTTGTAATTTTTGACTTTGTCTTTTCAAGCTGACCTTTGAAATTTTCTGTTCAGCTGTTTTACCTCCTCATTTCCTCCATTTCCTTTAGCATGTCTGTGCTGGAGAGCAAGTTTCAGTGTCTCTTCCGACATTCATTTGTCTTCTTAATGGCTTTTTGCTTTCTTCATGTATGATGTTCTTGATGTCATCCCTCAATTCTTCTGGTCTTCAGTCTTTAGTGTTTCACGTATCAAATCTGTTTTTCAGATGATCTCTAAATTCCGGTGGAATATATTCAAGGTCATAGTTTGACTCTCGTGGACTTGTTTTCAATTTCTTCAGCTTCAGTCTGAATTTGCATATGAGGAATTGATGGTCTATTCCACCATCTGCCCCTGGCCTTGTTTTGGCTGATAATATGGAGCTTTTCCACTATCTCTTTCCATAGATGCACTCAGTGTGATTTCTGTGTATTCCATCTGGTGAGGTCCATGTGTATAATTGTCTCTTATACTGTCTAAAGAAGGCATTTGAAATGAACAAATCATTGATTTTGCAGATTTCTATCATACAATCTCCAGTATCATTTCTATCACCAAGGTCATACTTTTCATCTACTAATCCTTCCTCTTTGTTTCCAATCTTTGCTTTCCAATCTCCAGTGGTTATCAATATATCTTGATTGCATGTTTGATCAATTTGAGATTGACAAATTTGGTAGAATTCTTCTATTTCATCCTCACTGGCTTTTGTGGTTGTTGCATAAATTTGAAAAATAGTGGTATAAACTGGTCTTCCCTGTAGGCGCATGGATATTATTCTGTCACAGACAGCATTGTACCTCATGACTGATCATGATGTGTTCTTTTTGATGAAGCAAGATACCAACCCATTTAATCTTTTCTGTCTTTTCAATTTTCTTAATCCTCCAAACCATACTTTTCTGTTCTTGCTGCTTTCTGAAAGCTAATTTTCATATAAACAGATTGGTGCTCTGACAGAACTTGTTGTTTTTCTGGAGAGTGCTAGGTAGACTTGGAATTGTTTTTGCTTTTGCAGTGTTCTATCATGAAATAAATGGTTAGATCCTCCAGTAAGATACTGGTGTTGTATGTAAGTAACCAATCGAAACTCACTGCCATTGAGTCAGTTCTAACAGAATAGAACTGCTTCGTAGGAGTTCTGATATGAAATCTTTATTGAAGCAGACAGCTCCATCTTTATACATCAGAGCAGCTTGTTGGTTTGAACCACAGGCTTTGTGAGTAACACCCCAGTGCTTAATCCACTGTATCACCATGGCTCCCTATCTAAGTAACCATGTGGTGTACATCTTTAGTTACATCCTTAATATGGTAGTTCT